TAATTTTAAGGGTGCTCAAGCAATTTGGTGAGAACTATAAGCAACTTAATAAGAATTATGAAGAGCTCACTGGGAAATACTTCAGCTTAAAAAAAGAGGTAGAAGCTATGCATAAAAATCAAGAGGAAATAAAGAATGACATAGTGGTTATTAAACATACCTTAGAAGGGTTTAATAGTAGATTAGAAGAAGCTGAAGACTGAATCAGCGACTTAGAAGACAAGGTAGAATAAAGCACTCAAATAGAGCAGCAAATGGAAATTAAAAAGCAGGAGGAAAGTTTAAGGGAGCTGTGGGACAAAACAAAACATAACAACATTCGCATTATAGGGATACCAGAAGAAGAATCAGAGAAAGAAAAAGAGAGCCTGTATGAAGAAATAATGACAGAAAACTCCCCTAAACTGGTGAAGGAAAAAGTCACACAAGTCCAGGAAACACTGAGCTTCCCAAGCAAGATGAACCCCAGAAGATCCACAGCTACACACATTATAATAAAAATGACAAACATTAAAGACAAAGAAAGAATCTTAAAGGAAGCAAGAGAGAAACAGAAAGTTACCTACAAGGGAGCTCCCATTAGACTGTCAGCTGATTTCTCAATAAAAACACTGCAGGCCACAAGGGAGAGGCATGAAGTGTACAAAGCAAGGGTCTGAATCCAAGACTACTCTATCCAGCAAGGCTATCATTCGAAATTGAAGGAGAAATAAAGGGCTTCATGGATAAAAAGAAAAAGCTAAAGGAATTTACACAACCAGACCAGCACTGCAAGAAATGATGAAGGGACTGTTGGAAGAAGAAGAAGAAACACACACACGGGGGGAGCACAGACATAAAATTAAAATGACAACTAATAACTGTCTATCAATAATTACCTTAAATGTAAATGGCTTAAATGCTCCAATCAAAAGACATAGGGTAGCTGACTGGATAAGAAAATAAGACCCATATATATGCTGTCTACAAGAGACCCACCTCACAACAAAAGACTCACACAGGAGGAAAGTGAAGGGATGGAAAAAATTTTCCAGGCAAATGGAAATGGAAAAAGAGCTGGTGTAGCAATACTCATATCTGACAAGATAGACTTCAAAACAAGGGCCATTATAAGAGACAGAGAAAGTCACTATATAATATGAAAAGGATCAATCCAACAAGAGGATATAATCCTAGTAAACACATACGCACCCAATACGGGAGCACAAAAACATATTTAAAAATTTCTGGAGGACTTCAAGAAAGAGATCAATAGCAAAACGACCACAGTGGGTGAGTTTAACATGCCACCGACACCACTGGATAGATCTTCTAGATAAAAAATTAACAAGGACATAGAGTTCTTACAAGACAAACTAGATCAGTTGGACTTCATTGATATCTACAGAACATTGCACCCCAAAGCTGCAGAATATACATTCTTCTCAATTGCACATGGGTCATTCTCAAAGATAGATCACACGTTAGAACACAAGGCAAGTCTCTACAAATTCAAGAACATTGAAATCATATCAAGCATCTTCTCAGATCACAGTGGCATGAAACTAGAACTCAATTACAATAAAAACACATAAAAACATTCAAACACTTGGAAGCTAAATAGCATGTTATTAAACAACAAATGGGTTACTAATGAGATCAAGGAAGAAATTAAAAACTTTCTGGAAACCAATGAAAACAAACACACAGCAACACAAAATCTATGGGACACAGCAAAAGCAGTCCTGAGAGGGAAGTTCATAGCACTACAAGTCTACCTCAAGACACAAGAAAAATTCCTAATTGACTTTCTAACCCTACAACTTAGAGAACTAGAGTGTAAACAAAAAGAAAAACCCAGACCTAGTGGAGGAAGGAAATAGTAAAGGTCAGAGCAGAAATAAACGACATAGAGACTAAAAAAAAAAAAAAATTCAAAAGATCAATGAAACAAAAAGCTGGTTCTTTGAAAAGATAAACAAGATCGATAGACCTTTAGCCAGACTCACCAAGAAACAAAAAGACAGAAACCAAATAAACAAAATCAGAAATGAAAGAGAAACCAAATAAACAAAATCAGAAATGAAAGAGGAGAAATACACAGGATCATTGAAACATACTATGAACACTTACACGCCAACAAATTGGACACTCTAGGAGAAATGGACAAATTTCTAGAAACACACAGCCTCCCAAAACTGAATCTGAAGGAGATAGAAAAGTTGAACAGACCAATAACAAAGGAAATTGAAGATGGAATCGAGGAACTCCTAGCAAACAAAAGCCCAGGTGCAGATGGCTTCACGGGGGAGTTTTACCAAACATTCAAAGAAGATCTAATACCCATTCTCCTCAAACTATTCCAAAAAATCCAAGAAGACAGAACACTTCCAAACTCATTTTATGAGGCCGGCATAATCTTAATTCCAAAACCGGATAAAGACACTACAAAGAAAACTACAGGTCAATATCCCTGATGAACACAGACGCCAAAATCCTTAACAAAATATTAGCAAATTGGATCCAGGAATACATCCAAAAAATTATTCACCATGACCAAGTGGGTTTCACTCCGGGCATGCAAGGATGACACAATATTTGTAAATCAATAAGTGTGATAGACCACATAAACAAAAGGAAAGATATAAACCATATGATCATATCAATAGATGCTGAAAAAGCATTCAACAAAATCCAGCACCCATTTCTGATAAAAATGCTCAACAAGGTAGGAATAGAGGGGTCATATCTCAACATAATAAAGGCCATATGTAAAAAACCTACAGCCAATATCATACTCAATGGGCAAAAACTAAAAGCATTCCCCTTAAGAATGGGAAGAAGACAGGGATGCCCACTTTTGCCACTCTTATTTAACATAGTACTGGAAGTCTTAGCCACAGCAATTAGACATGAGGAAAAAATAAAGGGGATCCAAATTGGAAAGGAGGAAGTGAAACTGTCATTATTTGCAGATGCCATGATATTGTATATATAAAACCCTAAAGACTCCATCAAAAATCTACTAAACTTAATAAATGAATTTGGCAAAGTAGCAGGATACAAAATTAACGTCAAGAAATCGACAGCTGATAAAACAATTATGGGAAGACAACGGCAGGCAGGACCGGAGGGAGTGTGTGAGAGAGTGAGCTAGTGTGTGAGAGAGTGTGAGTGGACATGAAAGTTGAGGACCAAACCTGAGCAGTGCAGAGACATGGAGCAGAAGGTTCCTGTGCTGTGGATAGGAGCAGGAGGCTACCTCGGTAAGCAGCTCTTCAGGGCACTTCTCCCTGCGCCACGGGGAGGTCGCACCATTTTGGAAGATCCTGGGTCTTTTCTGGGAGGAGGCAGCGGGAGTGGATAGGGCCCAGCAACCTGAATCCACCAGTGCACGTGGTACCATCGGACCAGTGGACACTCTGTGTCAACACAGACCAGTGCATAGTAGTGGAGCTCCCAAGGTGCCGGTTGCGGAAGCTCTAACAGCCGGAAGCCCAGCACAATCCCCCACGGTAGCAGTCCAATCAGAGTCGAGATGTACCCCCAGCAACAGAGGCTAGGGAGCAGACATCCATCTTTAGGCAACAGAAGCACAGACCAGAAGCTGAGACCCATCCCCAAAAACTACAGCAAAAGCTGAGCAGGAGTTGAGCCCCATGGGGCAGCAGCACTCCCCAGCCACTAGCAGCAGCACCTGGGACTCCACAGAGGCCAGTGCGATCCAGCAGCTCACAAGAGCAGTGGGAAGCCAGAGCCCGAGAGGGACTGTGCGATCCAGCTGCCCGCCCACAGGATCTGCAAGGTGCAGGGGCACCAGAGAGGCCTCTTCGACCCAGTAACCCACAAGAGCGGTAGGAAGCCAAAGCCCTAGAGGGACTGTTGCGATCCAGCTGCCTGCCCACAGGACCTGCAGGGTGTGGGGGCACCAGAGAGACCTGTGCGACCCAGAAGGGACTGTAAGATCCAGTTGCCAATGATACATCAGATAAGGGTTAATTTCCAATATATATAGAGCGCTCATACAACTCAACAAAAGGAAGACAAAGAACACAATTAAAAAATGGGCAGAGGACCTAAATAGACACCTCTCCAAAAAAGACATACAAATGGCCATGAGACATGTGAAGAAATGCTCAACATCACTAATCATCAGAGAGATGCAAATTAAAACAACAATGAGGTATCATCTCACACTTGTCAGAATGGCCACCATCAACAAATCATCAAACAACAAGTGTTAGCAGGGGTGTGGAGAAAAGGGGACTCTAGTACACTGCTGGTGGGAGTGCAGACTGGTGCAGTCACTGTTGAAAACAATATGGTGTTACCTCAAAAAGTTAAAAATTGAACTGCCATTTGACAGAGTGATTCCACTTCTAGAAATATACCCTAAGAAAACTGAAACACCAATCAGAAAGAATATATGTAACCCTATGTTCATAAGAGCACTATTTCCAATAGCTAAGATCTAGAAACAGCCCAAGTGTCTGTCAGTTGATGAGTGGATAAAAAAGCTGTGGTACATGTACACAATGGAATACTATGCAGCTGTAAGAAAGAGAGAGCTCTTATCCTTTGAGATGCATGGAAGGACCTGGAGAGTATTATACTAAGCAAAACAAGCCAAGCAGAGAAAGACAAATATCACATGATCTCACTTATTTGTGAAATATAATGAACTAAAGAAACTGATGAACGAAACTGACCCTGAGACATAGAGGTGGGGTACAGACTGACAAGCCTCAGAGTAGGGGGGGTTGGAGGGGAAGAGATAAACCACAGAACTTATATGCATGTATGCATGACCAATGGACAAAGACAACAAAGCTTGGGATGGGGGGGGAGGGTGTCAATGGGGGAAAAAGGAGAAAAATCTGTAACAAAAACAAATTAATAAAAGAAAATAATAAATTTTTAAAATAATAATAATAAATAAAGCTCTGTATTTTGTTAAACAACGCAAAGATTAAAATTATCGTTAGATGTTTTCTTTGAAAGAACATGCTTTGGATTCTTACCGTATGCTAAGATAAAAGGATTCCAGCAAGTTTTTGCCAACAGTTGACCAATTGTGGGGAACCTTTCAATGACTGTACCCGAATCCTATAATAGAAAATTACATTTTGGTCAGTAAAAGTGTCTTATACAACTCAGAAAGACTTAACTGACACTGAGTTGACGGAGCTTAAATGCTTCCTGTTTAGTATGTATTTAAGTACAAAAAACAGGATTAGAAAAGATCTTTAGATAAGTTATTCAAATAAAGTCTAACAAGTAACCACCCTTCCTTCATCTTTAACCCAGGTCACCAAAACTAAGATGCACAGCACATTTAGTTAAAATCAATTCTGTTACAAAATTAACTTCATTTCACTCATCCTTAACAGTCAGGTGACACAATTTGATTTAAAAATAACAAAAACCATATAATAGTGAAAAGACATTAAGGGTTATTAATATCTTTATAATCCTTTATCTTTATCCTGGAGTTTTATTCTAACTTAATAAAAGAGGTTCCTTACTCGGCTCCAGAAGGGCTATTACAAAGAAGGTTTATGAGTACAAGAATTCTGGAACTTGTAAAAGAAATAAAAATAGCCAAAGCATAAAGATATATATCTGTGTTTATTACTATTTTGATTACTGTATGCTAAATGGCATCAGATGCAGTCTACAACCTAAAACCCAAAACAAAAAAAGACCAACTAAATAGAAAACAGCTTAAGATTTTAAAATATACATGTTCTTGTACAACTGGCCCTTTTCCCACTTCTTTACCTTTCAAAGACAGTTAAAAAATAAGACCAAACTGAGATAATGTGCAAATAAGCTGAAATGATAAGCATTTCCTACTGCTGCAGCAAAAAATTCCTCACACTGTCTCAGCATGTAGGCCAATCTTAGACTTCCTAGGACCACTGTAAGGTTAAGTTACAAAAGTCTTAACAATTTTAAAATTAGCATTGGTTGTTCATACAGAATGCATCTTTCCTTAGAGTGTCAAAAGACATATGAATTTATATCATCAACATGAATTTTTCTTCAAAGTTCCTACTTGCTTCTTTGATTAGGAGAATAAAAGTATAACACAGGAATGACTATGTTAAATGACAATTATGCTTTTCATCTTGAAGTTAGACAAAAAGTATAAAACAAATACTTTGGTAATATTAAAACATTAATTCATAAAAATATCTATTGCAATAAAGACCATACCAAAATGAAAATATATCAAACCATAATAAGTTATATGACACTTGTAAAAACATTCAAAATCTTAATATCCACAAGAAAAGACCACTTGAAATATCTGTAAGAAGAGATCTTAACATTTATCATTTCTTGGGAGAGTCTACTTTAAAACCGGACTGAGGAAAAGGTAAGCATTTCAGCAAACTTCAATATTTACAAGATGCAAAGGCCTTTAAAAAAAAGCTGCCTATTGAAATGTTTTAGTTTTACCACGTGAAAAAAAAAGAATCCCAAGTCTTGTTTATGAAAAAGCAATCTGAATGGTCAGGAAGTCTCACGTGACAATATAACTAGTCAAAAAGAAAAGACTGAAGTCATAATGAATCAAAGAAAAGGAAACCACTTCCTGTCTGTATTACCTATGAGAATTCGTCTTTCTACCCCTTCATTACATTAGGTTAACACCACAAATTCCTGACCTTGGATCAAATTCAGGTGAAATCTGGTAAAGAGTCCCTGTTATCACAAAGTAACTTCATTAACTTTGGTCTACTACTTACCATCTCTTTCAAGACTTCATATATCTGCCTCAGGAACTCCTGAAACTGAGGTAGGTGATGGCAGATGTCTTGCTGGGTTTCTGAAGAGGAGGCCTGGCCCCATACAGAAAGCTTCCCCATCCAAAACTGATATTCAGAATAAAGGCCTACTGAATCTTGAGCCATCTCAAAAAGGCCAAGGTGATGTACCCTCGCAGTGGCCTGTCAAGCACTGAAGGAAACAGTGAGCACACATCAAATCTAGAAGGGAGAAAGAGTCATTTCCTTTTTATTGTTGACACTATTACAGATGTATCCTCTTTTTCTCCCCTTTGCCCACCTCCATCCAGACCTCACCTTCCCCTCCCCCTGACCCTTACTACACTGTTTTCTGTGTCCATGGGTTATATGCACTATGTTCTACGGCCAATCCCTTCACCTTCTTTCATCCAATCTGTATGTATGCCATCTTTAAAGAAGTGTCTATTCATGACCTTTGCCCATTTTTTAAATGGATTGTTTATATTACTGGTGTTGAATTGTATGAGTTCCTTATATATTTTGGAAATTAACCCCTTATCAGATGTATCATTGGCAAATATGTTCACCCATACAATGGGTTCTCTTTTCATTTTGTTGATGGCTTTTCTTTTGCTGTGCAGAAGCTTTTCAGTTTGATGTAGTCCCATTTGTTTATATTTTCCTTTGTTTCCCTTGCCCTAAGAGATATATCAGAAAAAATATTACGAGATGTCTGAGATTTTACTACCTATGTCTTCTAGGATTTTTATGGTTTCACTACTAACATGTAAGTCCTTTATCCAGTTTGGTTTATCCTTGTGTAGTGTAAGTTGGTGGTCTAGTTTTATTGTTTTCTAATACCTGTCCATTTTTCCCAACACTATTTTTGAACAGACTGTCTTTACTGGAATGTATGTTGCTGTCTCCTTTGTGAAATATTAATTGACCATAAAGGCATGGGTTGATTTCTGGGCTCTCTGTTTTCTTCCACTGATCTGTGTGCCTGTTCTTCTGTCAGTAGCAGGCTATTTTGATTACTGTGGTCTTGTTGCATAATTTGATATTTGGCATTGTGATACCTCTTTGTTCTTCTTTCTCAAGATTACTGCAACTATTCCAGGTCTTTTTTAATACCATATGAATTTTTGAAACATTTGTTCTACATCTGTAAAAGATACCATTGGTTTTTTAATAGAATTTGTGTTGCATCCGTAGATTGCTTTGGGTAATATGGACATTTTATTTCATTTATTTTTTTTGTTTTAATTTATTAATTTGTTTTTGTTACAAATGTTTCTCATTTTACCCCATTGACACCTCCTCCCCTTCCCTACCCCATCCCCAGGTCTTTTGTCTATGTTCATTAGTCATTCACACATGCATGTAAGTTCTGAGGTTTATCGTTTCGCTCATAAACCCCACCTCCTCTGAGTCTTGTCAGCCTGTAATCCACCTCCATGTCTCTGAGTTAACTTTATTCAGCAGCTTTTTTAGTTCATTATATTCCACAAACAAGTGAGATCATGTGATATTTGTCTTTCTCTGGTTGGTTTGTTTCGCTTAGCATTATACTCTCCAGGTCCTTCCATGCCATCTCAAAAAATAAGAGATCTCTCTTTCTTACAGCTGCATAGTATTCCATTGTGTACATGTACCACAGCTTTTTTTTCCACTCATCTACTGACAGACACTTGGGCTGTTTCCAGATCTTAGCTATTGGAAATAGTGCTGCTATGAACATAGGGGTACATATATTCCTTCTGATTGGTGTTTCAGTTTTTGTAGGGTATACTGATAGAAGTGGGATCACTGGGTCAAATGGCAGTTCAATTTTTAATTTTTTGATGTAACACCATATTGTTTTCCATAGTGGTTGCACCAGTCTGCATTCCCACCAGCAGTGTACTAGAGTCCCCTTTTCTCCACACCCTTGCCAACACTTGTTGGTTGATGATTTGTTAATGGTGGCCATTCTGACAGGTGTGAGGTGATACCTCACTGTTGTTTTAAGTTGCATCTCTCTGATGATTAGTGATGTTGAGCATTTCTTCATATGTCTCTTGGCGATTTGTATGTCCTTTCTGGAGAGGTGTCTATTTAGGTCCTCTGCCCATTTTTTAATTGGATTCTTTGTCTTCCTTTTGTTGAGTTGTATGAGCACTCTATATATTTTGGAAATTAACCCGTTATCTGATGCATCATTGGCGATTATGGTCTCCCATTTGGTGGGATGTCTTTCCGTCTTGATGGTTGTTTCTTTTGCAGTACATAAGCTTTTTAGTTTGATGTAGTCCCATGTGTTCATTTTTTCCTGCTTCTGTTGCCTTAGATGTTACACTAGGGAAAATTCTGCAGCTTACAATGTCTGAGATTTGGTTGCCTACATTTTCTTCTAGAATTTTTATGGATTCATGAGTCACATTTAAGTCTTTTATACATTTTGACTTTATTCTTGTGTATAGTGTAATGTGGTGGTCTAGCTTCATTTTTTTGCAGGTAGCGGTCAAATTTTCCCAACACCATTTATTGAAGAGACTGTCTTGACTCCACTGTATGCTCTTGACACCTCTGTCAAATATTAATTGAGCATATTGTCTTGGGTCAATTTCTGGGTTCTCTGTTCTGTTCCATTGATCTATCTGCCTCTTCCTGTGCCAGTACCAGGTTGTTGCAATTACAGTGCCTTTGTAGTATAACCTGAAATCTGCTGTTGTGATCCCTCCTACTTTGTTCTTCTTTGTCATGATTGCTGTGGCTATTTGGGGGTCTTTTTTGGTTCCAAATAAACTTTTGGAGTGTTTGTTCTAGTTCTGTGAAGTAGGTCATTGGTATTTTGATGGGGATTACAATGAATCTATAGATTACTTTGGGTACTATGGATATTTTAATGGTGTTAATTTTTCCAATCCATGAACAAGGTATATGCTTCCACCTTTTTATATTTTCCTCTATTTCTTTTTTCAATGACCTACAGTTTTCTGTGAAGAGGTCCTTTACTTCTTTGGTTAAGTTTACTCCTAGGTATGTTATTTTATTTTGCCACAATGGTAAGTGGCATTGTGTTTTTCATTTCTCTTTCTGTGATTTCATCATTGGTGTATAACAATGCTGTCGATTTCTTGACATTAATTTTGTATCCTGCTACTTTGCCAAATTCATTTATTAAGTCTAGTAGATTTTTGATGGAGTCTTTAGAAAGTTTTCTTTGTATAGTATCATGTCATCTGCAAATAACGACAGTTTAACTTCTTCCTTTCCAATTTGGATTCCTTTTATTTTTTCTTCATATCTGATTGCTATGGCTGAGACTTCCAGTACTATATTAAATAAGAGTGGCGAAAGTGAGCATCCCTGTCTTGATCCTGTTCTTAAGGAAAATATTTTTAGTTTTTGCCCACTGAGTATGATGTTGGCTGTAGGTCTTTCATATATGGCCTGTAGTATTTTGAGATATGAACCCTCTAATCCCACATTGCTGAGTGTTTTTATCAGAAACAGGTGCTGGATTTTGTCGAATGGTTTTTCAGTCTAATGCTATGATCATATGGTTTTTATCTTTCCTTTTGATTATGTGGTCTATCACACTTATTGATTTGCAAATATTGTATCATCCTTGCATGCCCGAGGTGAAACCCACTTGGTCATGGTGAATAATTTTTTGGATGTATTCCTGGATCCGATTTGCTAATATTTTGTTAAGGATTTTGGCGTCTGTGTTCATCAGGGATATTGACCTGTAGTTTTCTTTGTAGTGTCTTTATCCGGTTTTGGAATTAAGATTATGCCGGCCTCATAAAATGAGTTTGGAAGTGTTCCGTCTTCTTGGATTTTTTGGAATAGTTTGAGGAGAATGGGTATTAGATCTTCTTTGAATGTTTGGTAAAACTCCCCCGTGAAGCCATCTGTGCCTGGGCTTTTGTTTGCTAGGAGTTCCTCGATTCCATCTTCAATTTCCTTTGTTATTGGTCTGTTCAACTTTTCTATCTCCTTCAGATTCAGTTTTGGGAGGCTGTGTGTTTCTAGAAATTTGTCCATTTCTCCTAGAGTGTCCAATTTGTTGGCGTGTAAGTGTTCATAGTATGTTTCAATGATCCTGTGTATTTCTCCTCTTTCATTTCTGATTTTGTTTATTTGGTTTCTCTTTCATTTCTGATTTTGTTTATTTGGTTTCTGTCTTTTTGTTTCTTGGTGAGTCTGGCTAAAGGTCTATCGATCTTGTTTATCTTTTCAAAGAACCAGCTTTTTGTTTCATTGATCTTTTGAATTTTTTTTTTTTTTAGTCTCTATGTCGTTTATTTCTGCTCTGACCTTTACTATTTCCTTCCTCCACTAGGTCTGGGTTTTTCTTTTTGTTTACACTCTAGTTCTCTAAGTTGTAGGGTTAGAAAGTCAATTAGGAATTTTTCTTGTGTCTTGAGGTAGACTTGTAGTGCTATGAACTTCCCTCTCAGGACTGCTTTTGCTGTGTCCCATAGATTTTGTGTTGCTGTGTGTTTGTTTTCATTGGCTTCCAGAAAGTTTTTAATTTCTTCCTTGATCTCATTAGTAACCCATTTGTTGTTTAATAACATGCTATTTAGCTTCCAAGTGTTTGAATGTTTTTATGTGTTTTTATTGTAATTGAGTTCTAGTTTCATGCCACTGTGATCTGAGAAGATGCTTGATATGATTTCAATGTTCTTGAATTTGTAGAGACTTGCCTTGTGTTCTAACGTGTGATCTATCTTTGAGAATGACCCATGTGCAATTGAGAAGAATGTATATTCTGCAGCTTTGGGGTGCAATGTTCTGTAGATATCAATGAAGTCCAACTGATCTAGTTTGTCTTGTAAGAACTCTATGTCCTTGTTAATTTTTTATCTAGAAGATCTATCCAGTGGTGTCGGTGGCATGTTAAACTCACCCACTGTGGTCGTTTTGCTATTGATCTCTTTCTTGAAGTCCTCCAGAAATTTTTAAATATGTTTTTGTGCTCCCGTATTGGGTGCGTATGTGTTTACTAGGATTATATCCTCTTGTTGGATTGATCCTTTTCATATTATATAGTGACTTTCTCTGTCTCTTATAATGGCCCTTGTTTTGAAGTCTATCTTGTCAGACATGAGTATTGCTACACCAGCTCTTTTTCCATTTCCATTTGCCTGGAAAATTTTTTCCATCCCTTCACTTTCCTCCTGTGTGAGTCTTTTGTTGTGAGGTGGGTCTCTTGTAGACAGCATATATATGGGTCTTATTTTCTT